CCCGGGAGCGGCCACTGCCCTCCAGTCTGGGCGACAGAGTGAGACTCCAACTCAAAAAAAGAAAAAACAATCCTCTTGGTTATAACTTTCAATAGAAAATATCCCAGTTGCCGGGCTTGGTGGCTCAGCCTGTAATCCTGCGCTTTGGGAGGCTGAAGTGAGTGGATTGCCTGAGCCCGCAGGTTCAAGACCCGCCTGGGCAACTTGGTGAGACCTCATCTCTACAATAAATCAAAAATTAGCTGGGCGTGGTAGCGCATGCCTGTAGTTCCAGCTACTTGGAAGGCGGAGGCGGAAGGATCACCGGAGCCCAGCAGGTCGAGGCTGCGGTGGCCGGGAGCGGCCACTGCACTTCAGTCTGGGCGATAGAGTGAGACTCCAACTCAAAAAAAATTTAAAAAAAAAGAAAATATCCCTAAGACAGAAATATACTTAATGTGGGTATATCCCAATACAGAGTACATCCTCAGAGTGAATTCTACTCCATGAAATACAGGAGATGCACCAGCAGCCCTAACTGAGATGCATGCTTGTGAGGTCCCACCATGAATATTGCTCTTCCTACGGTAACCTCCTGTGTAAGCATGGTCCTCATAGATGTGGGATGATCCCATGCAGGAACCTTTCAACAGAGTCGATTTCACTTAAAAAAAAAAACCAAAAAAAAGCGTGGTTATCAATCTCTGACCCTACCAGTAGAAGTGATAAGGCTCAGAGCCTCAGCGTGTCTTAGACCAGCTCAGGTACCCAAGCCCCTGGCCCTCACCCCGCCCCCGCCTTCCACACAGGCCTGGCTCACAGGTTGGGAGCCACCTTCTGGGAGGCTGTTCTGGCTCCAGGTATCTGAGCCTGAATCATCTCCAGCAGCAACAGCTCCATCTTTCTCATTTTATAGACCAGAAACAGGCTCAGAATAAGGACTGCGATGTGCCCAAAGACACAGTTAATTGGGGGCAGAGGGTGGGGCTAGTCTAGACGCTTCTGTTCTTTGCTTCATATCCACAACTGAACCGTCTGCGCTCATGACTGGAGATCAAGCAGGAATCCAGCTTCAACCCCCTCCCAGACCTGAGAAGGGGACAGGATGGGAGTGGGGGTGGAGCACAGAGCTGATAGGGGGCTGGGGTGGAGTAGCTTTCTAGCTGGACCCTAGGCCTAATTCCGCCACCCCCACCCCTGTGCACACAACTCTCCAGGAAAGAGCTGATGATTAGCTGTTTGTACTTCCTCATCTCTTGGACCTCTTGTGGCCTTTTCCCCCATCCTGCATTTGGGTCCTGCTAAGATCTGGGAGAAGTGATCACAAGTAGACCCCCTAGCCTGGGGAGGGCAAGTTCAGTTGGGCACACTTCCTGAACTTTTTAGAGTGCCAGACCCTGTCCAAGATGCTGGAGATGCGCACTCGCTGACACCCAGCCCTCGCTGGCCACCAAGCTGGAAGGTTGAGCTCCCCATCTAGACATGGCCCAGAAAAACCCGCAGAAATGACCCACAGCTGCTGACACGCCCCTCTCTCCCCACAGCTGTGGATCATGCCCGCCTTCGGGGCCCGCCCACACTTCAGCAACACAGTGGAGGTGAACTTCTATGGCTATTCCCTCTGGGCGGCCATCGTCAACATCTGCCTGCCTTTTGGCATCTTCTACCGCATGCATGCTGTCTCCAGCCTGCTGGAGGTCTACGTCCTCGCCTGACACTCTGACAAAGACATGGTGGGGGGAAAGGGGCCTCAGCTCATGCCCTCCCAGAGCTCCCTCTGGGAATGAATCCCAGCTGGTGCCATATTTCTGCTCATGTCCTGCTGGCCCCAGAGTGGGATTTTCACAAAAGTTATTTTTCCAGGATGAGTTTTTAATCACAATGAGAGCATGCCCACCCATCCCAGCATGACCCTGGACATGAGGCCACTGGGGAAGAAAGACCTCTCTCGGCAGTATTTCTAGGACCAGGCAAGATCTGGATTTGCCAGCTCTGGACTCCATCCCTGATCCCAGCTCCTGTACCAGGCCTGGAGAACCAATAAACCTGTGATTTGTCCCCCACTCCCCACTTCTTGTCCCCATCATCCCATCTGAGAGGGTCATAGGAGGGGACCTCTGGGGTCAGAGCTGAAAGGGCCCCTGAAAATTTTCTTCTTTTTTTTTTTGAGTTGGAGTCTCACTCTTGTCGGCCAGGCTGGAGGGCAGTGGCACGCTCACAGCCACCACAGCCTAGACTTGCTGGGCTTAGGTGATCCTTCTGCCTTATCCTTCCAAGTAGCTGGAACTACAGATGCATGCCACCATGTCTAGCTAGTTTTTGTGATTTACTGTAGAGACGAGGTCTCGCCAAGTTGCCCAGGCTGGTCTCAAACCCCCAGGCTCAGGTAATCCTCTCATCTTAGCCTCCCAAAGTGCTGGGATTACAGACTGAGCCACCAGGCCCAGCCAAGATATTCAAGTCTCAAGCTTTTCAGTGGGTGAGCCAAATCTAAGTTACAGACTAGCTAAAATTGAGTAACTGGGTGGCTAGGAGTGGCTAGATGGGTTCCCAGACTGCCACTTTCCTCTTCCCTTTATCTCCGGGTGATATACACATATAATCATATTTTTCATATGTCCCAAAACACAAGAAAGTTTAAGAAGCACTGACCTAGTCTAATGTCCACATTTTACAATGAAGGTTCAGAGACGTAAAGTGACTCGCCCAGTGTCACACAGTTACAGCAAACCAGAGCCTTTCTACCAAGAACAATACTTTTCTTTTTTTTTTTTGAGTTGGAGTCTCACTTGGTCGCCCAGACTGGAGTGCAGTGGCCGCTTCCAGCCGACCTGCTGGGCTCCGGCGAGCCTTCCGCCTCAGCCTTCCAAGTAGCCGGAATTACAGGCATGCGCTACCACGCCCAGCTGATTTTTTTTTATTTATTGTAGAGATGAGGTCTCGCTGCCCAGGCGGGTCTCGAACCCATGGGCTCAGGCAATCCACTCACCTGAGCCTCCCAAAGGCGCGGGATTACAGGCTGAGCCACCGAGCCCGGCTAGAACAATAATTTTCAAACTTGTTTTCAAGCAGCAGAACATTTTCTCCCTGAAATAAAATATTGCAGGAACCCAGGTTTATAACACAAATAAAAGCAGTGCAATTCTAGTTGAAGGGAAATTGGGGGACTCGGATCTTCACCATCTGGCCCTCCCTTTACACCCCTCTCTGGGGGTCCCTGGGGCGCTTCCCCAGAGCCTACAAAAGGTAAAGAGATGGATGGCAGGGGGGCTGCCAAGGCTAGATGGGTCAGAGAGAATGGAAAGGGGCTTCCTCAGCTGGAAGAGGAGGGAGAACTGGTGGCCAGCCAGTTGGGGGGAAGGGGAAGGGCTGGCGGGGACTGGGTGGGAGCAGCTGGCACTTTAGGGGAGAAGGTGGCAGCGGTAGCCTCTGGAGAACAGGGACTTCAGAGGGAAGTGTGCCAGGACCCTATCAGCAGAACGAGGTCGCAGAAGTCACAGTGGGGGCTGAGTGAGCGCCAAGGGGCTGCCTTGTTACCCCCCTCACCCACCCGCCTCTCAGAATAAGGCTCTGCCGGAGTCTCTTGCGTCCCACGTTCAGGTGTGACTTGGAGAGCCAGGAAGTCCTGCGATGCCACATCCAGGCCTGGGACCAGGCGGGGTAGAGAAGAAAGTGACCCCCAGGAGGTGCGGGAAGGAGGGTCCATTTCCAGCCTGGACACCAGAGGACAGTGAGATCTTTTGTTTGGTTTGGTTTTTTGAGTGGGAGTCTCACTCCGTCGCCCAAACCGGAGGGCAGTGGCCGCTCCCGGCCACCGCAGCCTCGACCTGC